TATATATATATATATATATATATATATATATATATATATATATATATAAAATCGAAAATCATACAAGTAAATTCCAAATTATAATATTAAAGTATATATGACGTTTGTGGTGTATGTATAAGTTTTAAAATCGTACAAATAACTCTAGTTAATAATGTTCAACATATATGATATCTGATGTATATGTATACATATACAGGATGGAAAATTATTTCCTAAAATAGTGAGCCAAGTTTTGTACGGGCATGGTCTTTGGCAAATTTGGAATCTATCTATCCTCAGCAAACGTCTAGTATATCATCTTGTTTTGCCTCAATTTTTTACATGAAATATATCTCGAAATATATAAAATTAACTTTCAAATAAGGATTCTTTTAAAATAAAGCCTATGTGAAATTAAATGAAGAATAAATTTTTCATCCATTCGCACACTTGTGAGATAGACCGCGAAAGATCAGATTAACCAATTTGTTTTAATGAAAATTTGGTCTTAATCTAAAATCCTTTTAATTACTAGTAACTATATTACTGCTATATTACTATTACATTTAATTATTAATAACTTAATAATGTAACATTTTTATGCAGGGGAAAATGGTCTCCAAATCGATCAAAGGAAATGCCACCAAATTCTTCACTATTTTAGATACACCCAGTATCAGACAGACATTGTACAACATATGTGTATCGGCTGCACAATTAACGCGTCCGTCATTCATCGATAAATTATGTTATTTTCCACAAGTTCATGTGTTAAAGTTATTCGTACAATTAATATAATATGGTACAAGATATCGTATATGTAACGATACGTATTATATATTTCACGAACACGAACTTGAACGTACCCGATCACTTAATAGCTGTATTTTACAGACATGAATTAATACATCAAAAAATTCAACTATTTTTACGTTCAAATGAAAATATATTACACATCACTTGAGATAAAATAATGACGTATAATTTATCTGTAATTTACTATATATTATACACAAATTACTCGCAATACTTGTGTGCGCATTTTATTTAATTTCGACGATTTAATACCGACCTTGCTCGATCGTGTGAGTATCAATTGCGCAATATCTTATGACAATCGAATTTTCCATTAACGTTATTGTTAATGGAGGTACGCTCGAGTGCATTTCGAAATATAACAGAGAAGGCTTGGCAAGGTTCATCCTTCAAATGGTTTTACTTTACGAGTTACTCAACGAGATACGAAGATTAACGCACATACATATACAGGGTGGGGTGAATGTGCCCTTATTATATCACAGAGAGGCGTAACAAAAATATAAAATAATTTAAATTTTATAGTATTTTGTATGTGACACGTACACTCATACACAATGGCTATGTGCCGTGATTCGTACCACAAATATAATATTACAAATTATCGATACAACGACGATATACGTAATTATAGAATATATATACATATGTATGTATATATACACATATTTCATAATTAAACATATATCATCGCTCATTATATAATATATATGTGTATATCAATACTCATGGATACTCATGGACGTATAATATTGCCATCATTTATTTATTAAGCTATAGTTACTAACGTATAGCTAATATTACACAGCAATAATGTATCTCGAATTATTTAAAAAAGTAATTTTCTTAGTTAACTCTATTAAAAAGAAAATTTTTACTGATACGCATAGTGATGTTATTTGTGGTACAAATCACTTTACACTATTATTGTCATTATCGCTCGGTTCTCTCTTTTTTTCATTCTTTTTCTTTCCCTTGGAGTATTTTTTAATTCAATTTTTTAATTTCTCGTCGTACTCTTTCTGTCTTTTCCTTTTCCGTTGTTCTACCTTTTGTCGTATTCTGTTTATTCTGCAACTAGCCCTCTGACTTTCTTGTCCTTTCATTCTTTCGCCTGTCGTTCTCTCTCCCTTTTACTCTCTTTTATCACTACAGCTAGCCTCTGACAAAACTAAATCTTGAAAAACAAGACGCAAACTATTAAACAGCTCTCATATTCCTTTTCCCCTGAACTTGTTTTGCGCATGTAATAATATATATTGGGTTTAGCTTTAGTATAATGAAGGGAATTCCGGAAAACGGCGCGCATTAATAGCAGTGACTTGAGCACTCTCGTGTTATTTGCACGATAACTTTATATTACAATCAGCAGAAAAGCAGGCTATCGCGTTCCTTATTCATGTAGAGGATTTTGCAAATATCTCGAACTTATTTTACGTACCGTTACTTCCACGACCGTTTCCCGCGATACCCTGTACACGTCGCTCACGTACACAGATCGGCACGATAGCTCTAATATCTAACAGTATAATAGTGATTAGAATGTTTGACATCGCAACTGTCGATTATTTGACGAAGCGACAGAGATACGTTAAATATTACTTTTCCTTTTGTCATTTTTTGGATATAATAATTGAAATATCATTGTCGTCTCCTTAAACAGTCAACAATAATGATGCATACATATGTTGACGTGTTGCGAGTGATTTAAAAATCCTAATTACTATTTTGCTATTAGAGATGTTGAAGTTATTGTGACGGTTTATGTGTACGTCAAACGCAGAGACACGTACTAGTATGTGCCTATGCGGCATAGACGCAAATCGCACGTAGGTATTAAGAATAAAAGTTTAGTTTTGTGCTGATATACAACAGTGTTAAATGTTAATTTATCTTGCTTTGTATGTATATATTATGCGTATAAATTACGCATACGCGTAATGCGTACCACCTACCGCTTATGTATAGTGCTCCATTATTAGGTACAGCCCGTCAAATTATAATTTGTGTTATGCGCAAACCAGAGTCAATTCGAATGAATTATCTTGACTGAGTTTGAGAGGCATGCGATAAAAACGTAATTGCAAATGCAATTATAAGTTGTTGATAATGAAAAGTTCCATATTTACACTGATAAATTAGTCGATTCAAATTCCAGATCAAACCGAGTAACCGAATGTTGGCACAAAAGACCTTTTAAAAAATTGCAGGTTTATATAACCGGTCATAATTTATGCTTATTTCACAGCAACATAATTGTTCTGTTTAGTCGAGAAATCACCGTTAGATATATATTCGTCACTGTGTTTCTCCAAAATGTACGTTCTACAACTTAATTTTGTGTATCAAAGCTATTCTTTCACGGGCCACCACGTATATGTATATTCACGTATATATATGTGTGTGAGTGTGTACGCGCGCGCGCTTGTGTGTATATTACTATTTCATTAAGCATCATAAAAAAAGAAAAATAATTCTGGACTTTTGAATTTGATTTTTAATAAGAAATAGCGCTATGTAATTAATGAATACCAATTAAGAAATACATCACACACATATACATATGCACGCGCATACACACACACACACACACACACACACTCAACGCACGCGCACATACAGGACAACCCATTTTCATTCGGACAGTCGAATCATTTTTAAATAAAGTGATAAGGAAAAAATGCTTCAAATAAAAGCTGTGAGATTGTTTAAAAGAAACCTGACTTCAATTGTAACTTTTACTTGAAATATTTTTTCTTATCCGTATTTATATTATTTTATGAGTTATTCGACTTATTTATTAGAAGAAAAATGGAATATCCCGCATATGTATGTATGTATGTATATATGTATGTATGCATGTATATTAAAGTGAAGAGAGATAAGTATCATTCGCAAAATCTTATGGTTAGACTCATGAAGTTAATGAGAAAGTGAGCGATATTAGTCCCATTAGTAGTTGGCGATAGAAAAACCTGCATAAGTTTATAAGTATGAAGTGGAATATTCGGTTCCCATACATGATGTGAGATGTGAAGAGTACACAGTATAGATCGTAGAATTTTGCTCGTAATATATGTATGTATGTATGTATGTATGTATGTATGTATGTATGTATGTATGTATGTATGTATGTATGTATGTATGTATGTATGTATGTATATATATATATATATAAATGTATATATGTATATATACATATATATATATATATATATATATATATATATATATATATATATATATATATATGTACATATGCTTGTGCACGCGCATACACCTGCGTGTACAAAGACTAGAGTTGCGAATTTTTTGTATGTGTATGAAGAGGTACAAAAGTTATATAGATATAGAATAGGCGTTGAGGTCCAAAAGGCTGTGTCTAATTCGTGCGAGTCTTAACGATCGTTTTTTTTTTCTCCCTTCTTTCTTGTATCTTTTTATTTATTTATTTATTTATTTTTTTGGTAGTGATCGAGCGTCTCGGGATCGATCGACAGTGTCGGAACCGTGTATCCGGTGATCTCATACGCTGATGGCCCCGATCGCGCGCGCACCATACGACAAAGGAAACGATAGGCGTGTTAGAGGG